GAAAAGATAGGTGAACAGAGAGAATCCCAGCTTATCAGGAGAGCAAAAGCCAATGGAACCAGTAATAGGTTAAATAGTAATTGGCCATGGATTAAACAGTAATTAGCAAATTGCTGAATGCTGAGTGTGGACTAAATTGAGAGTTGAAAACTCTGGGAGAGTGGGGTCCAGTCTTAGGGGAGCATCCACACTTCAGTGAGTTTTACTTTTACAAGTTAGGAGAAAAATTTCCTCTTGCTTCTGGCATGGGGGAGGAAAAAAAGGACCATTTGAAATATACCCATGCTTTTTATATCCATATCGTGTATATAATATGCCTTTTATTATCTGAAACAAAAGCTTGCATTGAGATAAACTTTATCTGAACTAGAAAAAGAGCAATTAGACAATTTATATCCCTTCTAGACTTTCTTTCTCATATAAGGAGAGGGGAAAAAAAGATTAAGAAATTTTTGAAGGCCACAGCCCAGGGATTCTGGCCAAATAAAAGACAGAGTTTATTATAAGATTATAGAATGTATCAACTCTCCAGTATCTTATGACCACATTGATAGACTGTAACAGTGGATCACAACTGAGAGAGCTTCAAGACACAGATATTGTTTAGGAACTAGTTACTAAGAAAACCCAAACACAACAAACAGGGGAGAAAAAATTTTAAAAAGACAGTAGAGGAAATTGAAGCCTCTGACACTTACAGCTACAGCAAACATTAAACACAGCCTAACTTCCCAGCCAGATAAACATGAAACCTATAGACCTATTTACCTTGTTTCCTATTATCTGATACATCATGATTGGCTTTCAATAAACAATTACAAGGCATGCTAAAAGACAAGAAAACACACAGTCAATAGAGACAAGCAAACATTAGAACCAGACTTAAATATAGCAGGGATTTTGGAATTATCAGACTGAGAATTTTAAATGCCTATGATTTATATGCTAAGAGATCTACTAGAAAAAGTAGACAACATGCAAGACAAGTGTGTAATATAAACAGAGAGATGAAAAACCTCTAAGAATCAAAAAGAAATGCTAGAAAGGTAAACATTACAACAGAAATGAGAAATGCTTTTGACAGCTGAGAAAGAATTAGTGAACTTGAAGATGGGCCAGTAGAAACTTCCCAAACTTAAATGGAAAGAGAAAATTTTTTAAAGGAACGGAATATTCAAGAAGTGTATAGAAATTACACAACGCAGAAAGTACATGGTAATACCAGAATGTAAAGAGAGAAAGGAGCAGAAGAAATTTGCTCCTTTACTAATAATGGCTGAGAATTATTCAAAATTAATGACAGGCACAAATCCACAGATCCAGGAAGCTCAGTGAACACTAAGCAAGATAAATACAAAAAACAAAAATCTACATGTGAGCTTTTTTTGGGTATTTTGGGGGTTATTTTTTAGGGGGGATATATTTAAAAAGCTATTATGTGCAGGTTGCAGAAAATCAGACAAAGAGAAAATATTGAAAGAAGTAAGAAAAAAAATAACACTTTACTCATAGATGAACAAAGATGAGAATTACATCAGACTTCTCCTCAGAAACCATGCAAGCAAAGAGAGAGTGGAATAAAATATTGAGTGTGGAAAGAAAAAACCACCAACTTAGAATTTTATATCCAGTCTGATTATCCCATAAAAGTAAAGAGGACATAAAAACACTTTCTAAGAGAAACAAAAACTGAGGAAATTTGTCACCAGTTAGAAAACACTAACATTATTCAGTAATTTATTTGTATCTATAATCTACTTAATTTCATAAAATCTTTGAATAAGTGTAGAATGAAAACATACTGAAATAATAGGAATAAAGGATAAAAAACTAGGAACTTAAGAGAGTCAAGATGAAAAAAAGCAAAAGGTTCAGACTCTAAGGACACATATGGTTACTATCGCTGACTTTCAGTTTTGGTCTGAGTTTCACAAGGAAAAAGGCAAACCATTGGTTAGGATAGTTTCCTCTTTAACTGCTATTTTTTTGAGGCAATGCTTCAGGAAAGAAGAGCTTTTCCTACCAGCAAATTTGAGAAGCAGCCAAAGTGGGAGTGGACCACAAAAGGTCTATCTTTGAGGTATTTTCAAAGGTACCCTTCATTGGCTTTCCTTACATTCTTAACACTCATGAATTCATTTCACAAGTTTTTATGGAGTGCCTACTGTAAACCAAATACTGTTGTAGACATTGGAATTGTCAAAAATCCCTGCACCAACTCAGCTTTACATCCACGTAAGTGGAGAGAGATAATAAACAATATATTTAATAAATGACATACTAAACAGTGATATGTGCTAAAAAAAAAATTGAGGTAGAAAGAAGAGAGAGAGAGAGAGAGAGAGAGAGAGAGTATTCGCATGCTCCATTTTTGGTAGGGTTGGCCTCACTGAGAGGGAGATATTTGAGTATAGCCCTGAAGGAGGGGCCAGAGTGGGGAAAGAATAGCCAGTACAGAGGCCCTGAGGCATACTGAGGAATGGAAAAGAGGTCACTGTGGCTGGAGCTGTGGGGATAAGAAGGAGAGTGGTAGGTGATGAAGTCTGAGAGGCAGTGGAGATAAGTGGGGGCCTGTGGGCCATCACGAGGACTGTGGCTATCCCTCTGAGGAAACTGGAGAGCCCCTGAATTATTTGGATCACAGGAGATGTATCAGTCATCTATTGCTGTGTAACAAGTAGAACCCCCCCCCCAAAATGTAGTGGTTTAAAAGAACACTAAACGTTTTTTTGTCTCTCTCAGTTTCTGCTGGTCAAGAATTTGGGAGCAGCCTGGGTTTCTCATCGGGTCACAGTTGGACGTGGGCTGGGGCTCCGGTCATCTGTAGATGTGCTTGGGAAGGAAGGGTCCACACCCAAGGTGGCTTACTCACCTGGCTGGTAAGTTGGTTGTAGCTGCTGGTGGGAGATCTCAGTTTCTCTTAACAGGGGCCTCACCATGGGACTGCTTGAGTGTTCTCATGACATGTTGCTTGTCCTCTGTTGCTTTCCACAGAGAAGTCCAAGAAGGCAGGAGTGTCACTGTCCTCTATGACCTAGCCTCTGAAGTCACACACCATCATGTCTGCAGTATTCTGTTAGTCACACAGGACAGCCCTGACTTAGCACGAGAGGACATTGCCTAAAGGCGTGGTTACTAGGAGGTGATGACCCTGGCGGCCACCTTGGAGGCTGACCCAGGGAAAAGGAGAGAATTACTGGAACAGTGTCTCCACATGGGCACAAGGGTGTGGGATTTAGTGCAAAAGTGGAGGAAATAGCCTTTGTTGGGGCACAGAGGTCACGGTTAGCAAGAATATACAGGTCCAGTTATAGGAGGGTGGGAAGACATGGTGCTGGGAGCTTGTACATGCTGTCTTCTAATTTTTTCTTTTCTGTTTCTCAGTGAAATAGGAAATAAGGTAATAGATCAAGGGTGACCATTGGGAAGGAGGTGTTAGAGGTTCATAAGGACTTCAAGTTTTTCAGTATCTTTTAAGTGATGCAGTGGTCATTGTCATTAACCTTGTTTGGTCATATGATAAAGAGAAAAAAACCCTTCTTTTTGATCATTGTTCTATTAGAAGAGGCACAGCTTGAGTTTTAGTAAAGTGAAAAGAAAAAAGGTTTTTGTTTTCATTTTAAAGACTGATTTTTTTTTTTCTCTCTTTGGTTTCAAGAACTCTGTTTATAGCATGGAAACTTTTATGCTATCAGCATCCTTTGGTTTGCAATTAGACTACTTTGTTGTTTCTGTTTATGGAATAGAATACAATACAGATAGTTATGTGGACTTAAAGGACACAGTTAAAAAGTAACATATAGTCTTGTCCTAGTACAATCAGTTTAGGACCACCAGGGACAAACCTGTAGACCAACTAAGTCAGGGTTTACTGACTTATCACAATGAGGACTGCACATCAGAGGAACTGCGGGGTGTTTCACCAAACAAAAGAAAAGATAAATACAGGATTTTGAGAACAAGTGGAGTTTTGGTACAATGTAAATGAAGTAGTGTTTTGATAGGCTCAAAGCAAAAGTATTTCTGTGTGTAAAGGGGGTCAACCTCAGTTCTGGACTATAAAATGGACTTATGGTCCTGTTTCCTTGGAAATGAAGTCAAGATAAGATGTTAAATGTGTTCTGAGACCCATTACTGGAGCTCTGCACAGGGCTTGTAAAGTGAGGCTGCTTCACTGGGCCTCAGTGACTTACCTCCTCCTAGCAAGAGTGGAACATTTCATTCTTAATTTAGTAATTTCAAACAGCAGTGTTTCTGATAGTCCATGATTTCAGAGAATAAAATTTCTCAGTAAGTAAGCAGTAGTCACTCCAAGAATTGGGTTGCTAGGGCATTTTATGGATGTGACATACATTTGGGAGAAATATTGTTTTCTAGTAAATTTGCACCTAGCTTCATCTATGGTGCTGATCATGACTAGTGAATAGCAGGAAATTTTTTTTTGCTTTCTTATTCCAAGTCATTTTTTACTTTCTCAGATTATATTTCTATAACTTATTATAGTTCAAAATGTTGATGCCTAAGTCACTGTCCCTTGCTGGGTAATCTAAGTCAAAACTCACACATAGTTTGTATTTCGTATTTTTAATTTGTAATATAGGAGGTTGGACAAAGTCCTCCCCAGCGTACGTATGTAAAATTAGACCACTTGATTGTTAATGACTGAATTACAGCGCCTCCTGCAGCGCGTTTACCAGACTTCAGGGGCCCACAGTTGGGTTTGCCAGTTTCCAAAGAGAGGACTCGCAGGTGTTCACACTCTCACGTGACATCTTCATGGCTTCTCTTTCTTGTTCCAGATTGCCTTGGCTGACAAGTGCTACCATCAAAGTTGTCCGGAGAAGACCTCCTGTTGCTGTGACTGGTGGGGCTCTTGGTGGGAAGGAACACTGTACCCGTGGGAGTGTCCATAGTTGCTGCTCCCCAAGGGAGCAGGACATAGTTGGATTCTGTAGGAACCTCAGAGGACGTCTCTCCTCACTATGGTGTTGTGGGCTTTGACTCAGTTCCACTCGTGCTCTGTTTTTTAGTAAAGCCCGTCTGCATGTCTTTGGTGCCTTGTCTCCTGCAAGCAATCCTCAAAACTTAAACAAAAAGATCAAAACAAAAAGCAAAAAAATTTAAAGCAATTAACTAATTCTAAAAAATGAAAAAAGCAATGAAGTCCACATTCTCAGAGCTCCAGCTCTGCTTCTACCTTACACAATGATCAAATCACAACACTTAACCTCAGCCTACAGATCACTGCAATTTTGTCAAGAACAAAGGACTTGCCTTAAGTGTGTATAGTTAGTTAAAGAGCTTATCTGTTGATTTTCTCAAAATAAAAAGGTGGGGGGAGAACCTGTCCAGGTAATTTAAAGTCTCCATCTTTAAAGGCTAAAAAATGGTCATATGGTCATAGTGTCACATTTAAATTAAGGTTTCTACTGATTTTACTCATGAAAAAATTTAAAACTCTTGGGTACAATCTTAGGTATGATATCCTGTCGTATAAGTAATCTTGAAAATGTCCTCCAGCGAATATGCATGGCCTCTCCTACCTTGCTTGTTAGCATGGCCATGTGACTGTCATCAGTGGTATTCATTCTCCAGTCGGAATCACAGGATGAGAGTCAACATGTTATCTGTGGTAGAAGGAAGAGGAGAAAGGTCATGAGGGTGCTGAGGATTACTGATGAGATGTAGCAGGGCCCCTAAGAGATGTGGAGGAATAAATGAGGAAAGAAAGACACTGATGGAAAAGATTTCTAAAGAAAGCCTTCTTGATGGTGTAGAATAAAACTAACCCTAATTAATAATTACCAGGCATTTACTAGGGGCAGGCATTGCAAGAAGACTCTTATCTGCATTGTCTTGTGCAATCTTTAGAACAACTTGGTGAGTTACATGCTATTATTATTTCCATTTTATGAAGGAGGATACTGAAGCTGAAAGAGTAACTTGCTCAGATCCATGTGGCTAATAAGTAGTGCTAGCCATTAAACAAAATCTCTCTGATTTCAGTGCTTGTGTCATTAATTCTTAATATACTTTTCTAAATATTGTGAAATATGTGCCTTATTCTGACCTCTTTAAACAAATCTGAACTGCACATGCAAGTAAGGATCTGCAGCAGGTAAAAAACTGTAACATGTCTATATGTCTTTACATGTCTGTTCAAAAATTCTCTAAGCCTGTTTCATCTACTGCCAATGAACTATACCTTGACATTTTTTGTTTCCTATTTCTGAGTGCTCCCATGTTCACTCTGTTCCCACCATCTTCTACTTTTCCAGTGGATGTCCCATTTTCAAACTTAACATCCTGATTTCTCTCTTTAAGATCTCATATGGACATTATTCAATTTCATGAACCAAAGTTGCTAATAAGAGACAGATGAGTTGCCAAATAATTACAAGAAAAAGACCCGATACACTTAAAAAAATCAGTTACAAGCTATGAATATGATCTGGGAAGTTTATCAATGAAAACACAATAAAAATTTGGCATACATGAGGGTCAAAAATTTAACACAGGCAACAAATCCAATATAAGATAAAATGTAGTTCCTTTAGTATTGTCATAATTGATTTGTTCTTTCTCTACACCTCTTGGTAAGAAGAAAAAAACATTAACTTAGATTTGAAGCTTATTCTAATCTGTTCATTTAAGCAGGAGCTTTATCTAGTACTCATTCTTCCTTGGCCAAAATAAAAACAACACAAACAGTGCTCAGTTCATCAAACAGGCTTCCAATCCCCCAAATATCTCCTTCAGGTGGTACCCCTGTGTATGGGGAAGGGATGTGGCTTATCGAACTTTATGAACATAAATGAGTCAGCGTCCTAAGATGCTAGATAGTGTGTCTTATGAATGCTCTAGCTCTTGGGACAATGTACCATTTAATTTGTGTCTTTCCTATATTGGCTTTGATGGCTAATGTGTAACTCTTGCCTTTTGCTCCCATTACTTCATGGAAACTGTCAAAATCACCATTGACAGCTGTGTTGCTAAATCCAATGGTTAATTCTGTCATTACTTATGTGACCCTTGAGCAGCATCTGTCACAGTTGATTTCTCCTTTCTCTTTGATGTTTTTCATTCACATGGCTTCCAGAATACCACATTATCCTGGTTTTCTTTCCTCTACTTTGAAAGCTTCTTGGGTGGTTCCTCCTTTTATTCCCAACCTCTTAATTTCGGAATTCCCAGAGTGCTTTTCTGAAATCCAGTCCCATATTCCTGATACCTTATCTGATATCTTCACTTAAACAGCTGAGAGATAGCTCATATTTACCCGAAACCTGCCCTACACGTACTCTTCCCCTTCTTAGTTAATGGCAGCTGCATTATTCCAGTTGCTCAGACCAAAAATCGTGGGGTCCTGAGGCTTTGCTAGTCCACAGCCTTGTCTCTTACCCAGTAGGGGAGAAACACAGATTAGAAATTTTTGCTCCTAAGATCTTGCCTCTGTGATTCACAACCCTTTCTCTTAATTCACAGTGTCCACTCTACCATAGTGCATCATTATTTTATTTTAGTGTGCAAAACTGTTTTGAAAACTAGAGACCTAGGTAACCTTGTGAGTAAAACTAAATATAGAATTTGAAGCTTATAATCTGAGATAACCTGTTTCATCAAAATTAATTAAATACATGAATTGTCTCTTGTAGACATGAGCAATAATTTCAACTGGCCACATTTCCTTGGCTTCCTTTTAACTCTCCATGGGGTCTCAAATTCAACATATTTAAAACGCCATCCTACCTATAAGGGACTCCTACAGCTATGTTTGCCGTTCTGGGAACAGGATCGCTATTCTTGGCCTTGTTTCTCTCCCTGCTCTAACTCTGTGGCTTCCTTGAGCCATGCTATTTTCTTACCTGAGCCCACCCCACCAGCCCCTTTTGATTGGTTCAGGGATGTCAGCCTGGCCCAAGCTAAGCCAATCGTGGCATTTCAAACCTAGTTACAACCGAGTGATCCATTATGTGATGGAAAGTGAGTCAATTACAATCCTTCCTTAGAATATTTGAATTTGGTAACAGAGATTAAAAGGCAGTTCCTCTTTAGAGATAAATCCCATCAAAAGTAAAGCTAGGGAGCCGTTGGTAGCCACATTTCCAACTACGTGAAGGAAACAGCCTGCAGAGAGAGGTACAGATGAAAGGTAGAGGAGGCGAAGCTGGCCATGTTCCAGTCCCTGAATCTAGTTTTTCCCGGGGCCCAGTTGGCCAGCCTTTCAGCAGGCGTCAATGAAGAATCTCGTACTTTATGTTATGGAGACCCATTGCTAACTAGCCTAAACGGGGGGGGGGGGGGATTTATTTTCTTATATAGTTGGGAAGGATATCAAAGTAGCTAACATCATCAAAGAAATGGCTGTAGTAACCAGGCCTCCACTTAACGTCTAACATTTCAGAACTGCTCATTTTCTCTTTTTATTCACTTCTCACTTCTGCTTGTCTTAGCTTTTGAATTAGTCTCAGCTGGACTTCATGCAGTTAGGCTTTTTCTAGGGTGTTGTAGGAGAGAGCTTCAAGCTGTTCCAGTTGTTCATCCTTCCCAAATGGTGACCCCAGGGCTCTAGTGGGAAAGTCCCTCCTAACTTTAATGGAAAAATCTAAGGACCACCTGTGAACCAACCATTCCGGCCCAAAGCATGGGCTAGTGTGGCCAGACCCAGCTGAGATGCTAATTCTACGTCCACGGGTAGCTTAGGCAGAGCATTACTGAAAATGCAAGAAGTGGAGGGTGTTGTTATGACAAAGGATATTATAATACATTCTGAGGACACACGATAGCAACCACTATCCACTATACCATTTTTTTGTTGTTGGTTTAATCTTTTCTTGTATTCCATGCAGAAATAAAAATATTTCTTGCCTAAGCCAGTTGAGTTGTTTTCTCTCGTTTGCAATAAAGAATCTTGATGAATACACACTTTTCCATTTCTCCTCTTCTTCTTAGATTCTTATCTCCTTGAATAACACTGTTTTACTGAATCACCCTAGATGGAAACGTGGTAATCCTCCTCAATTTCTCCCTATCCCTCCCTTTCCATATTCCTTCCTCTCCATGTCCAATCAGATATCCTGCACTGTCAGTTATAGCTCTACAGCCGTCCCTATTGTCACAGCCATAGTCCATGCCCTCGTCATCTTTTGCTCCTTAATTAGTTTTCTTACTTTCAGTCTTGCTTCTTTTCAATCTTTCACCCTATAGTAAAAATAAAATCATCATGTCATTTCCTTGAACAATATTTCTTCCTGGCACCCATTGCCTTTAGAATAAAGTTAAAATTTCTTTGTGATGTGTATAGGACCCTGTGGGAACTTTTGCTAAAGATGCTTAACTTGTGTCTTGGTGTTCAGGTCTCAGCATCCGTTCTCCTCTATGATCCTGTTTACTTCACTGCCGTGTCATCTTTGTCATATGCAGTCATTACTGTCCTCATCCTTAACTCTAATCTCATCATTAGGTATCCTTTATTTGCTCTTGGGACTCCTTGATACCTTGACTTCTTCTGCTTGTAGTATTTACCAGATTCCCAAACCTTGTGTTATCTATAAATCATTTATGGAGCTTTTAAGAAGCACACATTTCCTTGACCCGACCCAGACACACTACATAAGAAACATTTTTTAAATTGCCTCCCAGAGGTTCAGAAGCACATGATTTGCAGAAGTAGTCACTTGACAAACACTGTGCTTGAGTGTCTCTGCTACTGCCTGATATTGGCGTCTCTGATGCTTCTTCTCTTTATTGCTGGATTCCTTCCTCTACTCACCCCTGAGACTTCTGATTGGATGACCTGACTTTGAAGTCTCTCAGATTTACATCCTAGTCATCTCTGCTCTAAACCCTTATGCCATCAACCCAGAATCAGCTATTTCAACCATTTCACTCCCCTATGGTTATGCAGCCCCTCCGTGATTCCAGCTCTTTGAATTTATTCTGTCTATTCTTGCTTTATCTTCTACAATTCAATCTCTAGTTCAAGCCTAAATTATTTTTTCCCAGCTACTTTGGTTATATCGCCAACTATAAATTCTCCTTCTCACTCAGAAGCCCTGAACTACCATTGCTGGGTGTTCACTGGCACTTTGAAATTACCATAGGGCTCCCGTCAGTAGCAAACTACAGCTGTGCGCAGACTGTGTGCATCTTTTCCAAAGTCCATATGCAATAAAATCATGTTGGTTGTGTGAAATGGCTATGGTATGAATATTTACACCACAGAAATCAGCAAATGCTATTTTTTTCCCCGGAGGACTGGTTGCTAAACATTTCCCAGCATGCCACTGGCTCCAATGGAAGACTGAGCAGTAGGAGCCCTGGCACCAGCCTGGAGTACCTGATATGAACCCTGTAGATAAGAAGTGCACACCACAGACTGAGACTAGCTGAAAGCAAAGGTGGACTGATCCTGGATGGCTGGGAAGTTAGTGGTCCCTAGACCTTAAAAAAACTCAAAACTAAGGGGCTAACTCTGCTCCAAATCTGCTCTACTCCTGCACTGGTCCATCTCAGTTAATGGCAATGACCTTCACTGAGAACTTGCAGAAGTCATTTAGGCAATCTGTGCATCAAGTCCCTCATCTGTAAAATGGGCATGCTAATAGCTTCTATCCCACTGAATTGTTTGAGGATTAAATGAGTTGTGATTGGTAAAGTGCTTAGGATAATAAATGGCACAATAATGATTTCCTGAAATACTGTATGTTTAAATAGTTGCTCAGACCAAAGGACCAAATCCTTTTCCCTCCTTTCACTTCTACTGTGACTGCCTGGATCCACTGTGTCATTCTGAATTATTTCAATGTTTTTTCCGCTTTCATTCTTGCGCCCTCTGCAGTTTGTTCCTAAATAGCAGCCAGAATGATCTTTTTTGATCATTCTTACCCCATGTCCTTTCCTGAGATGAAAACCCTCCAATGTCTCCCCATTTCCCTAAAATAAAAGCCAAAGTCCTTATGACAGCTTACAAGGCCTTGGTCCAGCTCTGAGCTCTCCTCCCACATCATCTTCTATGACACTCCCTCACTCAATTCGGCCTACTCCTCCCAGCCTTTCTGTAAGGGAGTGAGTGAGGGGAGTGCCGTGGGATTGTCAAAGCAGGAATGGGCCTACCGAGAGCAATGAGGGTGGGGGTGCAGGGTATGGCTTATGTGGTACATAGCAAAAAGTAAGAAATAGTTTTAGCAGGAGCAGTTTAGGAATTTCGTCCAAAGCAAAACAGGTAAGAACAAGATCTGTACCCAGCCACTTGGAAATTGGCCTAGTATGCAGAAGGAAAGAAAACAGCTCCAACAAGTGCCCTGCAAAGAACCTGGCAACCTCGAATACCCCTGAGTCATAAAAATGGGCCTGGCTTTGTGGTCTGGCTTTGTTAGAGAGTTATTCGGTGTTAGGAAGCCTGTGCATGTTTTGACAGAAAAAAAAAAAAAAATTTCCAAACCTAGTGGTATGTGGAACCAACTCCATTAATAATATTGACCTGCTTCTTTCCTAGAGAAATGATGGGATGGCTTGCTATAACTGAAAACTCCTTGGGAACAGCTGAGATGTGGGTAGGATGAGGGCCAGGGTTAACACAGCAAAGAACAAAACAGAAGCCAGGGCACTTCGGAAAATCAGCCTTGATCTAACTCCTGGATAGTCTTCCTTTTTATTCAGAGACAGAAAGGGTACAGACCAAGAGCAGACATACTGAGTTTCATCTTTAGAATATAGTCCCGACAGGCCAGGATTATAAACCAAACAAGCAGATAACAAACTATGAAATAAAACCCAAAACTAGCCTTTTATTTTGTCCAGTTTAAAACATTACACTAAGAAAAAGACCCTGCAGCGCAGCAAAAGCTACCGGGTAGGATCCTGACTGTTGTCTTATACCCAGCCTCAGCTTTTGCCTCTTCCCTATTGCTGATACTGATCTCAGTTCATTGACGCTGTTCCAGTGTGTACACGTACCTTTCTGGCTGTGTTTCTCATCTATTAACTCATTGTTATTTCCCTGTTTCTAAGATTCAATACACCTTTTATAATTTCTTGGCTGCGGCTCTTCTACTCATTATACCTGCTTTGCTTAGGAGCCTATGCATTGGGTATGTGTTGATCCAGTTCACTCCAGGATTATTTAATATAATAGTCCCCCATCCCCACCCCCTTGCCCCTTTGTCACCTGTATCTGTCCCATCCTGGCTTCTTCCCAACCATGTCTTTGGGTTAATCCAGCTTACCCTCAGAGATATACAGGCTACTCTGTGCAAACATCTCATGACATGATAGAAAATTCCATCATAGCACATTCAGCCACCAAATAAAATGTCCTGGCATGCCGACAGGGTCAAAGCTTGGTCTTACCCTATGAAAATTTGTTCTAGGTGAGAATTTAGGATCTGGTCAATGGTGAGACCCTCAGTAAAGGCCCAATGAGGGTGATAAAAAATTTGGTGATGAAGCATTTGCAGCCACATGTAGTTGATGCTGTTGGTTTCCCACACTTCCCCACATAGCCAGTGTCCTCCTCCCCCAGCTGCTGAGAGTGCAGATGCCAAGGCTTAGACCAGCAACTTTCTCCAAAGAACCTCCCTTTGCTGACAAGAGCTGCCTCATCCAGAGATGCTTGGGAAGTTACTCTCTCCTCCCATCATTTTATGGATTAGATTTCAAATCCAGTTTTTGTGTAGGGTGGGGTTGGGGGAAAAGAGGCTTCTTTCCATTTAATCACCATACATGGTTCTCTGAGAAAGGCTCCTAGTCTGTGACTTTGTGCTGTGTGAGTGGTGCCAATTAAAATTATCCTCCCTCTCATCTTTAAATAAAATCTACCTTGTGACTTCACATTTTTAGCCAATTCAAGCATTAAAACCTTTCTCCTGCACTGATTAGGGCATTATTTCCAAATGAAAGCTCTGATACATCTTTTTGGACAAGCTGTCAAACCCATGCTTCATCAAGTATGCCTTACCCCAGTAATGACTTGCATCTTTTTCAGGCAATAGATCTTAAGACGTATAAAATACAGGTAGGAGGTAGTGTGTTAGTCCTTCTCATCAAATTGCGTTGATGTGAGGCTCCAGAAAGAGGCATTGGATTCTGTTTCCATGGCAACTGCTTCACTGCTGAAGGGGAAAACAGGACAGCAATTGAAGTCTGTGTTAATGGCAGCTCTAAAAATAATCGGCAATGTGTTGAAATCAAGTGAAAGACCCAGGAAGCGACAGAGAAAAATTATAGCCATGCCGAGTGGAATTGAAAAATAAGGTGCTGTGCAAATATTATTACAACTATAATGTGATTTAAAAATCACAAGAATGGTTGGTGACAAATATATTTTGGGGGAGAATCAATTATTCTTTTGTTTGTTCATTCATTTAGGTGATGGTTGAATACTGTTTATATACCAGCCATGGGGCAGGATCTGAAAATGTTAAGATGAGTCAGTCTCTGTCATCTGGGATATCATGATTTTATGACAAGAAAATTCACTGTGATTGTAATGGACATTTTGTTTACCTACCCAATATTCATTCTAACCATTCCCCACTGTGTAACAGCCAGGAGAATAAGGAATTGTGTGGTATTGATTCCACAGCCAGGTCAAGAGACAATTCAAAATCACTTACTACAGTTATTGGTTCAGCAGTGAGCATGTGACCAAAGTATAAACCTATATGACACTTCACCTCTAGTGAGTGGCTTCTGCACAAAGCTCAGAAGTGTTTGGTGAGGCCAGCTGCAGTAGTTTATGCCTATAATCCCAGCTCTTTGGGAGGCTGAGGTGGGAGTATTGCTTGAGCCCAGGAGTTTGAGACCAGCCTGAGCAAAAGTGAGACCTTCCATCTCTACAAAAAATAGAAAGATAGCTGGGCAGGAGTGGTGGCACACACCTGTAGTCCCAGCTACTGGGGAGGCTTAGGCAGGAAGGTCACTTGAGCCCAGAAGTTTTGAGGCTGCAGTGAGCTGTGATGATGCCACTGCACTTTAGCCTGGGCGACAGAATGAGACCCTGTCTCAAAACAAATGAACAAAGAAGTGTACGGTGGTTGTGGAAATGCTTATAATCTGTTTTACCTAGACATGAAAGAAGCATGTAGAGTCTGTTGCTTCAGGCAGCTACGTTGTGATCAGGAGGAAAGTCAGCCAGACAATGAAACCAGCCCTTGGGCGAAGCCAAGGGAATCACAGAGAAATATGCCAGACCCCACTGAACCGCACTGAACCCTACTCTACCTCTGGATATTCTACTGGTACTAACCAACCACATTTATTTTTGTGGAAGCTTCAGTTGGGTTGTCATGTTTCCTGTTGCCTGCAACAAACAAAAAGCATCCAACTAATAACAAATGTCAATGCCATGGAATAAGCGAAATACTGCAAATAAGCAGTGGTAATTATTACATGTGAAAGAATAAATCAGAGGGAGAGAGAGGCGCTAACAAGAAACTCAATCTTGAAGAAAGGAAAGCACAGAAGATCAAGGAGCTCCCTTGATGTTGTAAAGAGGAGAGATCTGCTTTGCTGGCAGCATAGCTCCTCATTGCCCAACTATCTAGCATTGCTGGTTACTGGCAATACAGGCCTCTCTTAACCCAAGCCGCATGCAGAGGTGGATGTATCATGAACCTAAAGAAGCTTAAGCTCAAGTGCTCCTCACACTGGCCTTAAGGGGAGGGGTGGAGGCAGCAGCTTCAGCTGTACATTAGCCACTGGGCTGCCCCAGCTCAAAGGTCACTCTCTAAGGCCTGGTGGTGTTTCTGGGTTGTGTATAGAGTAAAAGTGGGCTATCAGCATCATCCCTACATTTGCCTGGCCTCCAATAACAACCACTGGTGGACCCCATCAAGTTTCTGGACCTCATCTTAACCACAGTAAGAAGGATATGAACTACTCTTTGATATATATATATATATATATATATATATACATACATATATATATATTTTTTCATATTCTATCTCTGCCTGAGAACTAAGAATTAGGCTTTAAAGCTATCTAACATTGCAAATCCCAAACATGAAAAAGTGAAGAAATAAGTAAAACCTAGGGCTGGGCGCGGTGGCTCACGCCTGTAATCCTAGCACTCTGGGAGGCGGAGGTAGGAGGATCCTTTGAGCTCAGGAGTTAGAGACCAGCCTGAGCAAGATAGAGATCCTGTCTCTACTAAAAATAGAAATAAATTAGCTGGACAACTGAAAATATATAGAAAAATTTAGCCACATATGGTGTCATATGCCTGTAGTCCCAGCTACTCAGGAGGCTGAGGCAGGAGGATCTCTTGAGCCCAGGAGTGTGAGGTTGCTGTGAGCTAGGCTGATGCCACAGCACTCTAGCCCAGGCAACAGAGTGAGACTCTGTCTCAAAATAAATAAATAAATAAAATAAAAATAAAAACTGAATGAGGTAAACCAGCTACTATAGGAGGAGTGTGTGTGTGTGTGTGTTTGTGTGTGTGTGTGTCTCGAGGTCAGGCATACTCAGCTATATCAAAGGGTTGCAATTCTGAGGACTTGCCCCCAGGCAAAAAGATATCTAAGCAAGAAACAGAACTTTAGAAGCAGCAAAATCCAATGACTAGGTGTGAAATGGAAGGAAATTTTCTAAACTTTAAATATTAAAAAATAAATTGCAAAAAGCCATATTAAAGACTAGATTATTTTTCTATCCTCTCTAGATAAAGTATTAAAAAATTATTGCCACATAGAGAACTTCTTGAGGAGTAGACAGCGAAAAAGTGTAGGATAAATATTATAGAGCTATATCAGGAGTTAATTGAAAAATACTAACAGTAATCTGTTAAATTTTTGAATTTGTGATGCTTATGATATTTGTCAATTTTTAAAAATTTATAACTTGTTTTTATGTTTTTTCTGAATAAATATTCACTTTAATGTCTAATTTTGTACTTATTTACTTAAAGAGAGTCCTCCAAACTGTATACATTGTCAGACCGACAATACCTAAATCTGTCATTTGTGTGTCTGACCAGGCTATTCTCAGCCTTCTTCAGATGAGTGGGTTTGAACTAAAGCTTATTTCTCTCTAGCATCTTCCTGCAGCCTATTAGAAGTAGGACCATAGTCAAATTCCTGCCTATTTTTCTGTTTTCTAAAATCTCAGGCTTGGTAGGTACGTTGTCTGGATCCTAAGATGCCACAGGCAGTGGTTTAACCAACTGCCTTGTTAGTGCCTGTATCAGTTTCTTGTAGCTGCCATAACAAATTACCATGAAGGGAGTGGCTTAAAACAACAGTGATTTATGGTGTCACAGTTCTGGAGCCTAAAAGTCTGAAATCAAGGTGTTGGTGGGGCTATGATGTTGGCAAAGGCTCTAAGAAAGAATCTTTCCTCACCTCCTCCTAGCTTTTAGTGTCTCCTGCAATTACTGGCATTCCTTGGTTTGTAGCTGCATCTCTCCAGTCTCTGCCTCCACATTCGTGTGGCCTTCGCCCTCGTGTCTCTGTGTGTCCTCTCCTCTTCTTATAAGGATGCCAGTCATTCACCAGATTTAGGACCCACTCTGATCCAGTATAACCTCATCCTAACTTAATTACATCTTCAAAGGCCCTATTCCAATTAAGGTCACATTCCGAGGTTCCAGGTAGACATGATTTCTTAGGGGGCACTATGCAAAATATTATTCTATCCCACATAACAGGGATATCATATTCCCAGATGGGGAAGGAGTCATTCTTTTTGTCCCCATCTCATCTTGATTCAGCCAGTTCCACATTTTAGGATCTACAATTGATGCTTCTTGACTTATGGTGGGCTACATCCCAATAAATCCATCATAAGTTGAAAATATAAGTTTAAAATGCAATTAATATACCTAACCTACTAAACATCATAGCTTAGGCTAGCCCACCTTAAATGTGTTCAGAACACTACAAGCCTACAGTTGGGCAAAATCATCTAACACAAAACTTATTTTATAATTAAATGTTGAATGTCTCATGTAATTTATTGAAGACATAACCAGTAGGGTACAGTACTGGTTGTTTACTTTCCTGATCAAGTGGCTGACTGAGAGCTGTGGCTTGCCACCACTGCCCAGCATCATGAGAGAGTGTCATACTGTGTCTCACTAGCCCGAGAAAAGATCAAAATTCAAAGCATAGTTCCTACTGAATGTGCATAGCTTTTGTACCATCATAAAGTTGAAAAATTTTAAGTCACACAATTGTAAGTGGTTGACGATTATAAAAATCTCTGCATCATTCAAAACTCTTTGAATTGATAAGTGATTGAAACTATTTGAGTTTGTTAGTCAAAAGGGTAAATTTATTGGCTCACATGAATTATGGAAAGGGCGGAGAAGATGGAACATAGAACTAGGTGCTGTAACCTATGTCATTCTCTTCCTTCTCTTACTGTGCTTCCTTCTGAATAGGGTCTCATTTTCTCAAGCTGGCTGCACTGATGGCCATGATCTGTTGTGGCCCGCTTACAGGACAGAGGATGAACACAGAACACAGAACACAAAACACAAAAATACAGAACACAAAGAAAAACGTGGACACATGTACAAACGGTTGACTCGAGTACTAATACACTGGGTCCATTTTATTTTTATACTTTAAAAATTTAAAGTTAGTTCCTTGTACGTAACCGCTCAGGCATTTCAGCAATGGCCATAAATTCCAGAATGCATAGCCTTAGGGAAGCAGATATCCCCTGGCTTAGAATTTCAAGGTGGTTGCTCTAGGTGCCAGGCATAGATCACAGACTGAGATTAGCAAGGATGGGCAAGGCAAGCCACAGGGAGCATTTCTCATCCCCAGCTTTTCTTAGGGTGATCCCCTAAGATCTTCCGCTGAACCCTGGTGGCTGTGCCTGGCTTAGGTCACCCCTCCCTTGAGGGGTCTTACTCGTCATTGACTAACCAGCCATCTTATGGGGTGTACACAGCAATCACAGGAACAATATGTTTATCGTGTGGCCTCCAGACCCCCAATGCTGTGGGGCGGGGTAGCTCTTGCTTACTTGCAACTCAGGTCCTTTGTTATGCCTCTAGGCAGCAGCCTTGTTTATCACAAGGACCTTGTCCGGAACACATTACTTTCAAATGCTCTGGGCAGAACACATACATTACTCACTAAATTTAATTCTTAAACTAGGAAAATATAATGTCAGTCCCCAACAACGATCAGTTTCTGGGATCATAAACTCACCGTTTCAGGACTAGAGAGTAAACGTTCTCAATTTAGAAGTCCTGGGAAGTCTCATATTCCAAGCTTGAGTAAAGTGACCAACCCTGGAGCAAATGCTGTCTAAACAGTGAGATCTATTATATTTGCCATAGCTGAGCCATGTATTCATCCTCATGTGTGGGGGTGTGATGGGGTCCATTCTAGAAGAAAGAAAAGGTGTGAGGTAGACAAAAGTTCCATGTCTACAATCAATAAATTATAGTTCTTTTCTCCATTCTTTCCTATACCTCCTCCCCTTTCACAGAGTACAAAGGTGTGGTTTACGAAATGCATGAATCACAAAACAAATAATTGCTAAGACTGACGACAAAGGTCAAAGAATGGTGGTTTTGTAGTCTTAGCTGCTCAAGTGTCATTTTTTAAAAACTGGATATGAAAAACACTCTGTACTTGAAAGTTCAGTGACTTGAATTTTAGTTTCTGCTCTACTTCTAATATCACATGCTCTTGAAGAAATGACTGATCTAACATTTTTCTTTCTCACTGTTAATCTGTTTGACAATATGAAGGTCAGCAAGAAATATTTAAAAACTCATTTGGAAAATCTATCTTCAAAATGATTGATTTATACCTATGACAATGCTGCTGATATAAAATTAAATTATACAGTCTTATAGAGTGAAAATATCACTTAATTTGGATTAGAGAGTTCAGATTCTGTCTGTGCCTTGTCTGATTTTCCTTAGGTTATTAATATTTACTTGTACAACCCTCAAGCTGCTTGATTTACAAAATCAGTGGATTGTGTTCAGTTTATCTCTCAGATCTCTTCCAGTTCTAAGATTCCATATAAAATTAACTGCACCTCAATATCCAAACTTTATATTGTTTCCTTTTTATAAAATAGAAGTGTGTTTACCCTTCTTGGAGTTTGTAGCATGTCTTGAATCTGAAAAATTCTTGGCCTTTTTCTCTTCAAATATTGTTTTCATTCCATTTTTTTCTCTCCTTTCTCTTCCTCAAATAAAGCTTTTCACCATGTCTAATAAGTCTTTCATACTCTTTTCTATATATTCCATCCTCTTAACTGTCTCTGTGTCAGTTTGGATATTTTCTTCTGACCTAGCTTTCAGTTTACAAATTCTCTTTTCAGCTATATATATTTTGGTTTTTAGTAAGTAATGTTGAGTTATTTATTGGTAGTTTTCTTACTACATATCTTGTATTGAGTTCAATAATTTTCTTTAATCTTTATATTGATGCCCTTTATCAGTTTGAGTTTTCTGTCATTATCTTTTTAAACATTGTTTCTATCACATTGTCTTTGTCTTTTCTTCTGGACATTCAATCACACATATGTTTGCTTTTTTAACTGTGTCCAATGCATATCTTAAATTCTCTGTTTTGATTTTTTTCCCATTTATTTTTCTAATACTTAGTTTTTATATTTTCTAGGGACTTGTTTTTGATTTCACAAACCTTGTATTCTGCTTTGTCCTATCTTCCTTTAAACCCGAACAATTTTTAATTTCACATTTAAAAATTTTTTCAGATTAAGAATGTCCATTTGCTTTTTTAATAAATTCCAATTTTATGTTGAAATTTTCCCTCTCCTCATCTTTTCTGTTCATTTTTTGCTTTATTTTCTTTGATATATTAATCTTAGTATTTTAAAGTCTGTGTCACCTGTGGATCTCTCATTCTTTGTCTCTGTCCCTCCCTTTAAATCATTATCTCTATTTTATGGGTAGGAAAACTAAAAAATTTCATGGAAAATGAAATTCACTGTCCAATACATAATATAGTCAAAGATCTTGACAGAGAATTGGTATCTGAACTATCATTTCTCATCTTTAAATCAATAAACATTATTCCTCTTTAAAGGAGGTGAAAAAAATCACCCATATTAAATATACTGAAAATAAATATCACTAAATACCATTAAATGATGAATAGCTCTAAAATCTCTCTAACCTCTTTGCATTCGTTAACTAGCACTTTAGAGTAAAAATAATTATGGCTTTTGTTATGGCTCCATATTTCTTTAAAATGTCGAGTATTCTGCAATTACACAGGCCATTAAAAAATAGTGACTAAAATAGATTTCCAATTCTGGGAATAGATAAGAACTAATGCCATTTGGATTTAAACAGAATTGTATTGTAATCATCAAGCTACAGGCATAGCAAAAAATGACACTGCTAGAAGTCAGTTCACAAGTAAGTCAGTTTACAAATAAGCTGCACTTTACAAAAGGCTCTTACCTACCTTAGGACAAACATTTTATAGTTTGAAAAGTCATGTGAATACTATAAAAATAGTGATTATTCATCCCTACTCGATGAAATTTCTTGCCCTCCTTCATGATTTCTTCGATCTTTTCTTTTTTTTAAGTGGACAAATGACATTCTAAAATGTCTGAACCTTCTAAGTACAGCAAATCTGGTAAAAATTCCGAGTGCCCTTTCAGTTAATAATGTGATCGGAAGCCATCCTTCTCTCCCTTCTAATGTATTAATAAGATCCAAACAAAATGGGTGTAAGTCAGAGAGCAGCGCAAAGTTTTCGAGTTTCATAGAACTTTAAATAAGTTTATGTCATAGAATGGCGGGGGTACCAAATATCTCCAGATACGAAACAATCGGTTGCCTTCACGGAGAGGACCACTGGCAGCTTGGGACCCAGGCCATGTTCAGGGGAGAATGCAGGCAGGCGGGGCTTGCTCGAGCAGCAAGTGCAAAAGTCCTTTTGGTAGAGGCGGCCTCGGGGCCATGAACATCCCGCAGGGACTCCGGAAGTGCAGAGCCTAGAGTGCCGTGTGCAGCTGGGGTGCGCACGCAGCACAGGAAGTGACACGGAACTGCTCTGCCAGGCTCCACCTCCAGCTGCAGTAGTAGTGGTGTCACGTGATGTTCCCACCAAAAGTGTTGCTTTTTTTTTTTTTACCAGTTATAAAGAATATCAGTGAACTGCCTTGATCCAGTGAAGACTTGGTTTTAAGCTTTGTTATTGCTGACCTCATTCAGTTTTGTTACTCGTGGGGTGTAATCATTAATCTTAAGGAGTCCCTTTTCCCAAATCCTGGGCCTGGGTTTAGCAAGTCTCCTCTACCTTGAATTCTTATAACTCCCCGGTGCTAGTCAGCTGCTGAAATCTCTGCTCAGCATTTCAGCTGTTTTATGTTTTCTGCTACATTTCTTGAAGGCTTGCCTTATACACATGTAACCGAGATAAAGGTCTGAAAAAGGGCAAAATGTGTTAGAAATTGTCTCTTTAAAATCCCCTACTCTTTTTTTTGAATTATAACTTGCATTCCTGGCTGAGGCCAGTAATCAAAAGGGCAGAAAAATGTTCTTTGTTGTCTAGTATCTTAAACCACAGGAGATGGCTCAACAATTATCCAGACAAAGGTTACAAATATCTTCTCTGGAGATAAGGTCCTCCAAAACCACCAACTAAAGTTAAACAATAGCCTGAAGCCATGCACAGCTGCCTAAAATCCCCTTTAAAAGCCCTGAACTTCTGCTTAAAGGTGGGATTGTGGTTCTTTAAGATGAGAGTCTGCCATCCTCCTCATTTGCCATCAAATTAATAAACTTCTCATTCATTTTTCTCAGATCACTTGTCCTTGTTTTTCCTTCTCATTGATTCAGCCTCAGGGACAAGTATCCAAGTTTGGAACTTTCGATAACACATGCACAGCTCAGAAGTTAACGAACAATTTGAGGGAAATATGGATGCAGATTTTTGGGCACTCTCTCAGGTTCCTCTCTCTTTGATGGTTTGCTCCTCAAATCCCAGCTCCTTTGGTTTACCTAAACTCCAGTCTCTGTTCCCTAAGACCTATGAAATAAACTCCTGCTTTCTTTCTGGGCTCTTTCACATTACTACAATTTGGAAAATGCTCTCAAAATTCTGAGGTTAATGTGGAATACATCTTTTGTGCTTTCCTTTCTCAAGGATTTCAGCTGCTCAGTGTTAATTGTGAAGGCTCTCCAATTCAGAGGATTATTTATATGTTCTTTTCCCAACTTTTAAAGTTATTTTTGGTAGAAGATTCAGTTCAATATAAGCTACATTGTTGAATCTAGGGCCTAACATTTTATCCACTGAATTTTAATTTGAACAATTTTATCATTTCTAAATGTTATTTTTCATTTCTTTTTAATATGTACCCAATCATTTTTAATCTCTTCTTCTTACATATTCACTTTGTCTTCCTTTAAACAGTTTTATATATACATATTTATTTTGGATTCTGATAATTCTAAAGGCTATTGCTCTCTCTCTCTCTCTCTTTTTTTTTTTTTTTTTTTTTTTCTCTATTTGCTTTTGATTTCTTATATTCGACTCCTCATATAACCTGATTTCAATCTGTGGAAGTTTTAAATTTGGGAATTTTCATTTTTAGGAAACTTATAAACAATGGATTATGTAAAGTTTTCCTTGTTTATTCTGGGTCTAGTTTCAAAGTAAGACAGTCTTTGAGAGTTTCTATCCTAACATACTGCTTGAAGCAGAAAGTTATATGTTTTAATTTTGAATTGTTTTCTCCGGAAAACTCAAAAAGTAATAAAAATGTTTAGTGATGAACTTAGATTCATTCACCAAGCTTCCTAGACACAAATTTTAGCTGCAGAAGTGCCAAGTCCATCTTATTAAACTTTTTTCTTTTATTTAAAAAAGTTATATATTTTAGAGGGAAAGCTAGCCAACTGTTGGCTGAAATTCAATTCATTGTAAAGGTTCTTTTTTTGTAAGAAGGAGAATGTCTTTTTTTACAGGATTCAATAAATGAATAACTAAAAATAAGCTTTGGTTCAGTTTGAAACTTGTGACGGATTGGCAGGTGAATTATTTATCAATTATGATGAATTATCTATAAAACTACTCACATCAATCCAGTTCTGTTACTTGGCAGATGACAAATTTTACATCTTTAGAATTGACATATTTGAGGTTGTATGTATGCATGATATACTTAATTATGTTGAGACAAGATAGAATGGGAAGACTTGAGATCTGAAACTAGACATTTCGGTTAGGTTTGGGCAGGTTCTAAAGACGGTCAATGGGGATGAATGTGGTTAACGGGATAGAGTATGTTTTATTTAAAAGGGAGAACAGTCTAGACGGTGGGATCCTATAAGTCCCGTGACTACTAGGCCATTGTATATCATTTTCACTGCTAACTCCAAAGTAACTTGACAGTGCCAATCACATAGTAGTTGCTCCAAAAATATTTTAAATGAAAGAAATAAAAGAGTAATAGTGGAGTCTAAAGATATGGCAACAAATACCTTAGTCTCTGATAAGCCATTGCAAGTTTCTGCGAAATAAGGAGATACTGCTAGGAGAAGTGCCTATGTAAAGTGATCCAATAATTGCGTGACCTGTCCCTTGATCAATGTATAAATGGGCATGACCAACTCTGAATCTCTTTTTGGCCAAAATAAATGAATATTTCTAAGGTCTGTTTTTTGCTACCACAGTACTCTAATAATAACAAAGCCAACATTTTCTTTTGTTGGTGTTATGGTAAGGGCTTTCATGTATTAATTCATTTAATCCTTATGCCAACCCTAGGAGATAGCTACTATTATTAAGAATAATATTCAACTATTATACTACTAGTATCATCAGTCATTATTGTTCTTCTGGTAATATTGCCAGAGGCCTAGAAGAAGTGTGCCTAACCAGCCTGGAGGTATCAAATCACATGAAAGGAAATTCTTCAAAGTGTGATCTACACTTAATAATATCTTTTATGACAAATGCCCCTAATTTCAATTACATCGCCAAGGACCCACCTTATTATTAATATATAGCCTCGCATAGGTTACCATAGACTAATTTTCAATTTCAAAGGCAAAAATGACCAAACATTTGAATGCAAAGTAGTATGCGAAATATACTCTCGATTATCTTTTAAGTCCCTTGTTAAGTATAGAAGGAGACAATGAAAGAAAATTCTGGGCAATTTGTTGTATTAGTAACTTGGGAAGACTGACAACTATTTCTTGAACCTGAAATCATATGTTGATCAGTGAGTTTTACCATCCCCATCTTCTTATGGTCTCTTTGTAGAGTGATTAGCCATTAGTACCATCCTTGCAAGAAAAACAGAACAAGTGAGAGAGCAATTACTCCTTGTAGTATGTCAAGCACTGTGCTAAATGCTTTACATATGATGTGTAATTCAATTATTAGAACCACTCTGTGAACTAGATATAATGATCCCA